AAAAAAAAAAAATATAATGTGCCGTACACATAAATCATGTAATATGATTCAATAACTAATAAAAATATTCTTTAAGAATGATTAATTACACAGGAACATAATTAAAGAGTCTATTTACAATACTCAATATCTACAATAAAACTATTCAATCTAACTAAGATTGCATTGTCAAAATATTATGCGATATTAAAACAAATCTCTTAAATCATGAACAAATAAAGTCTAATTTTTTTACAACTCGAGGTCTCAAAATTGAAGTTCTCTCTTAAAACTACTTTATATCCGATCGATTGTCTCTCCGTTTCGAAACGGTTTCGATCGATCGAAAAGAATTATACCTAAAAGTTCATACGTATACGTCCTTACTTCCGCTCGACGTTCCGAAAATCGTTACGAAACCCTGAACTCGATTCTTTAATGAACGTCACCTTCACTCTTTTCCTAGTGAGCACACCGTGCACCGGTGATGGCAAACCTTTGCAATCTCTACCTTGCCCGGACATTTGTTCCTCTTCCTCCTTCTCGATCTTCAACACTCTCTTCTGCCCGCAATTCGCTACACTTCCGGTGGATGCGTTGCTCGTTACAGGCACGCTTGAACAAGTCAAAATACTCGAGCTACTTACAACCTGTACGTTTATCTGAGGCGACTTTGGAAAAATCGAAGATCGTGAACCAGGGGGTCGCGTTAGACTTCCGTTGCCCAATGGATTCGCCGTAAGAGAATTTTGCGCAACGGTCATTGACGGTGTTATACTTTTTTTGCAAACAGAATTCGGTACATTATGGCCAGAAGGCGCTATCATTAACAAGTTATTACCATTTTTATCACACACAATGTGAGAAATCGTATGCTGTAACTGTTTCTGGCCGGTGAAGCTCGTTTTATATGCGTGATTTTCGGTCATTTGTTTCTCTTGCTTCAAGTATACCGTCGATTTTCCGTGATGGCTCGTTGAATTTTGAGCGTTGAGATTGGGCTCGCATTTTATCCTGACCTCGTGTTGCATCCCCTCGTTTCGCTCTTGCGACTTTTGCCATTCCAGAACGTTGCTTAGCAGTTGTATGTACCTGGTAAATATAAAATTTTAGAGAGTTTTGCATTGAGAAATGTGAAATTCGCGTATCTTAATGAGCAATAAACAATTTTGTTTTGAAACTAAAATAGAAATTAACTAAGCATATCAAGTTGCATAATGAATATTGCATGTTCACCGTTTTAAATGTGATAAAAGATACGATTTTCAATAATTAAGTTATTTTTGACAATTATTAAGTAATTCATCGTATGAATAAGATTCTTTGTCAAAAAAATATTGTGCGAAGATATATTTATGTCATTAAACGCGATCATGCTGGTTCAAGCCACGTAGAAGAATTACCTATTCATTGTTTAAGAGGTTCATTAGATTCGTTTTAAAACTTACTTAATCGCCATACGCAAGATCTCGTTCTTCGACAATTTCTTGTCCGGTGGATGTGTAGGGACTAATTTTCGAAGCTCGGCGAAAGCTCCGCTAACATTCTGCTGTCTCCAACGTTCACGACTGTTTGTGAACAATTTTCGAACACCTAGAGTCCCTGCTCGAGACGTAGGCGAGCCAAGAAGACCACTTCCAGAAGACGAAATACCATCTAGCTATGAAATTATTACTAATTTTAAGAATCATCGTAGCTCAACGTTCCAATTTTTCTTATAAAAATTCGACAATTATTACAAATTGTTGCAGATAAAATGACCGAGTTCTTAATACTCACTGTTTATGATTCTCTTAAAAACAATATTGATTAAAGTTTTGTTTAAAAATGTTCATAACATGTCCATGAAAAAGCAAAATTAAAATTCCTTGCTTTATTTTTAATATTTGTATTTGTCAATTTAAATTTTTCAATCAGTGACGTAATCTTTTTAAAAGATTCTATTATATTATATATATCTATTATATATATTATATAATGTTACTTGTATTTTTTTACATCCACATATTAAATTTTAAATTTATATAAGAAAATCACTCGAATTCGATGTTATTCGTCACGTGCAATACCCAATTCGTTGTTATCATCAAGCAATTAATTACAATTATACACACAACTCATATATCAATTATCTTTAAATCGACACGTAAAACCTATTAAATTGATTGATTTCACACACTTGGGAAAAATCGGTCATTTCACAACTCGCAACGATCCGAATAAAATAATCGAATAATCATTCGCTATTTAAGATGAATTAACAGAATTTTGCTCACGGAATTGTTTCGATCTCGCCGTTTCTTTCCTTGCTCCTCTTCCTCGTCGGTGTCATGGGAATAAAATTCATCCGAGAGCGTCGCTTCCTCCTCCGTGTCCCTCGACGTGCCTGGAGAATCGCCGACTTCCTCCGCCAGTTCTCCTTCAACGGACAATAGCGAGTCCGCTGGAGAACCGTTCTCCGTGTCTACCGTGCCTCCGCCGCAGCCATTGTACGTCAGCATCGACTGCAATTTATTAATTAATCGTCTCGACTTCGCTCGGATCATATTAGTCCCGACTTTTTCGCGTCGCACCTTCGAAACCTGCACGATCGTGCGCGATGAGTTCAAGTATAATAACGTGAATTCAATGTGATCGAGATGAGAGAGAAGAGGATGAGTGACAAAAGATGCGGGAAATCCGGATGAATTATCGTGAACAAAATTAGATTAAATAGGCGCCTACAGGATGCTCTTATCGCAACCTCTCTCCGAGCTTTCGTCCCTGACATTCAATAGGCTAATAGGCACGGATCAGCTATATTATGTTTTATAATTAATTTGAACGTATTATGAGAGGAAAAAGAAAGGATGTTCGGAAAGCACGTATCTTGATGAACAATTTTTCGAGATTTTTTTTTTTGAAGAAAGCACACTCGTGGAAGAAATTAATTCGTCATAATTTTTCAAAACGAAAATCACTCGTAAATAGTCAATATTTATTAACACGAATGATTAATAAGATAGATCCTTACCATTTTTATTGGAAAGTTTATTATAGTTCACTTTCACTTTAACACTGTCTCATTTGGGATGCGCGACACGTTGATATAAGTGTCACTCTTGACTTAAAATAGAACGAAAATTGAAGGATGTCAACAGTTTTCTCAAGGACACGATCGTTAGTGATTTTAAACCGACTGGCGAGTTCAAACGGGACGATTTAACTAATAGAAAGTGTAGTACAACCCCCGAGAAAATGAATTTTGCGAAGGCGGAGCGCAGGCCTCATGGGTGGAGCTCCTCTCTGGACCGTCCCATACTGTTCCATGCGTATCCAGCATCCCCCCAAACACCCTTAGGTCGCTGTTAAACCCCTAGGTACCAGGACGAGAAGAAAGAAATATTGATTGTTCACGGTTCACTATGAAAAAAATTGTATAAAAAATTGTAATTGGAATATATAGATATGCATAGTTATAAAATTATATTAACCGTTTCTCAAACGAGTTAAAGTAAAAGTGAACTAAAATTATGTAAAATTATTTCGTGGTTGAAACGAAATTTCTTCCTTTTCATGTGATTCTAATAATAATATCTAAAAACATCTTTTAACATATTTTCTAACATATATTTTATAGAGTATTTCTATAATCGCGTAATAATAAAAAAAAAGGATAATTTTTCAAGGAAAATTAGGAAAATTAGTATGATATAGTAAGAATTATTTGTTACAACGAAATAAAGATTATTGTACGCTTATAAAGAATTTTAGAATTATTTTAATTCATTATCATTAGTTTATCGTTATATAGAATAATTAGAAAGATGAAAAACTAAATCAATAAAATATATATAATAAAAATTTAAAATAAGTTTAAATAATCTTTCAATTTCAAAATAAACGATTTTGATCGTCAATACGTGTGTATTAATTCTCGATTTAACGGATTTTGATGTAGATTATTTCTATTTATATTTGTAAACAATGTCTTGTTCATTGTTCGTTAATTCCATCAATTTATTTAATTTTGAATTTTAGAATAATCTTGTAAATGAATGTAGAATAAGACAACCACTTCTTAATATATTTATTTTTTTATTTAATATAGAAATTGTTCGAAATATTATTTTATGTAGATTCGTTCACTTTGAATCAAATTATTATGCATATCTGCTAGAATATCTTTTTTCTTAAAACTTTTCTGTAAGTCTGATATAAAATATATGATTTCATATATTTTCACTTATAAAATCATTCTAATTATGAAAAAAATTAGAGATAACATTAACAACAAACAAATCAATATAAATAAAAAAAAAGATTGAATATATGTGAAAATTTTATTCTACATTGAGTAAAATTTTTCTACTTTTCTTAATTATTTAAAACAATTCTAAGATTCTTCATAAATTAAATTTACCATTAAAGTTTCCAATTATAATACGTTTGATATTTAAAAAATATCTCCTCGATAAAATTTTTTTACATCGAAAAGTTTCTTTCTCCCAAGTTCCCAAACAATTAGATTCTTATTAGCCGAATCCCGCAGAGTCAACGGGGGATTCTGGGGGAGGTGTAAAAAAAAAAGGGGGAGAGACGAGCCTTGTTTAATATACATTAGGGGTTGAGAAGCCCCTAGCCTAGTTGTCAAGTGGCCACCAGCCACGAGCTGTTTTATTGTGACACCTCCGAAGGGTGCTACAGATTTTCCAGCGGGATGAATCGAAGAGTGTCATATCGTGCGAGCCCGATTAAATGATTAAATCTCTGATCGTGTTCATTCGAGCGCTATTACCGGCCAATCTGCGTGGGAGCTAGATAATTTCGTCTAAACTCGAAATGACTAGAGATAAATTAAATTAAACATCGTATACAATAAATTATTGAACGTAATTTGGCATGTCAATTACTGCGTCACGTTGCATCACTGTATAATGTAATCGTATAATTTTACAGAATCGACTGGTTTATATATTAATTATACTGTACTAGTTATAGATAAATATATATTTTGTTAGATAAGTGATAAAAATAATTATGTTTAGTGTTATTGATAATATTATTGAAATATCAATGATTTAATTCGTGCAAAAAACATCGTAGCGAAAGAACGTTTGCGTAGATGAATGGTTTA